TAGTCGTGTAGCACATCTGCTCTGTAATACGAGAACGAGAGATGTGTGGCAGCTCAAACACAATACAGTAATTCACAAAGATAAAGAGAAAAAAAAATAAGGACAACATTCCACATGTGCTAGAAAGCATAAGCTCTCTTACAAATCTCACTGAGCTTGTCAAGAGCATGTGACAGGTCACATTTCACACTAAAAATCAAAAGAATTTAAATTGTGACTTGCCTATTTGTAGGGCTGTCCGATGCCAGTGTTGTTAAAGTTGACACTATAACTATTAAAAATAATTTTCATTAATTGAAATAAAGCTAAAACAAAATATAAATCGATGAAACTAAGCTGAAATGACTAAAATTACTCAAACTTAAAAATAAAGCTAAATGGAAATAATAAAAACATGACAATCACTCAAATGAAAATATGAAAAATAAAAGCTCATTCAAAATATTAATAAATACTATAATAGTATATAAATAACACTAAATTAACACTTGTAAGACCGTTATGATTTTTTTTGCAATGACATTATTTTCAAAACACTTCAGCTCATTTACTCCCGAATTCTCATTAGCATAAAGCATTTTCACTCATTACTTTGATGTAATAATGATTTTATTGAATTTTTAAAAGTATCTATACACAATATATCACCACCATATTGGTTCATGGTTGATATTAGTGATTTTTTCCTTTAATTTATTGGTGTGGTTGTACCGTTTATATAGAATATTTATGTGCATGCTCAATTTACTTTTTTAAAAACATTTTTTCAATGCCGTTAAAGGTTTAAATATCTGTGTATTGCTGCACAGTGTTATTATAAAAGAGTTATTCCTAAAATATGTACTCATGTATGCTTATAATCCACATGAAACTGCTTCTGAGAGGGTGAAACTGACTGTGTGTGTGAGTAAATGTTCATGCCAGCAGCTGTGTGTATCTGGCTCACAGATGGGAAATGTCATGCTGATCACATGGCAGCTCGAGCAGTGCTTGTCCTCCAAGTGAAAGCTAACCTCTCTCCATACTTGGGCTGCAGACAGTATAAACCAATGACAGAGCTACACTCACTATCAGCCCACTGAGAGAAAGACAGTAAGAGTGAGACAAATAGTATATAAATAACACTAAATTAACACTTGTAAGAAGACCATTATGATTTTTTTTGCAATGACATTATTTTCAAAACACTTCAGCTCATTTACTCCCGAATTCTCATTAGCATAAAGCATTTTCACTCATTACTTTGATGTAATAATGATTTTATTGAATTTTTAAAAGTATCTATACACAATATATCACCACCATATTGGTTCATGGTTGATATTAGTGATTTTTTCCTTTAATTTATTGGTGTGGTTGTACCGTTTATATAGAATATTTATGTGCATGCTCAATTTACTTTTTTAAAAACATTTTTTCAATGCCGTTAAAGGTTTAAATATCTGTGTATTGCTGCACAGTGTTATTATAAAAGAGTTATTCCTAAAATATGTACTCATGTATGCTTATAATCCACATGAAACTGCTTCTGAGAGGGTGAAACTGACTGTGTGTGTGAGTAAATGTTCATGCCAGCAGCTGTGTGTATCTGGCTCACAGATGGGAAATGTCATGCTGATCACATGGCAGCTCGAGCAGTGCTTGTCCTCCAAGTGAAAGCTAACCTCTCTCCATACTTGGGCTGCAGACAGTATAAACCAATGACAGAGCTACACTCACTATCAGCCCACTGAGAGAAAGACAGTAAGAGTGAGACAGACAGACAGACAGACAGACAGAAAGTCTCAACAGCAGGAGCCAGAGGAACATTTCATGGCTCACACGACTTAATAAAGTTTCATTTGAGTATCGGCTTCACCTCAGACATTTTTTGAACTAAAATTCTTAGAATAATAATAATTGCAATTAGATACAAACCAAGACACTAATTTTCTCAAGAAAAACATCAGGAAACTCTGCCAAAGTTTCTGCGAAGCTAAAACGACTAAAACGCCGTTATGACAAATGGCTCTCAGGATACCAAACTCATGACACACAACACACACACAAACCACATATTGTAGCTCTGGAAAAGCTTCCACCGCTGGAACATATCAAAGTGAATAAAGGCTTTCTTTAAAAACCTTCAGATTAACAGAGTCCACTTAATGCAGATTCACTTACTGTCATATATATTTGGTGGATTTTTTTTTATTCAGTAAATCACTTGTCATGAACCAAGACTGTTTCAGAAATAAATAAAAAAAACACCCAGTGGTTTAGCAATGGTATTGAGACTGTCGGCTTTGTGGCCTCCAATTATACCTTTAATCTCTTGTTTATAGGCACATTATTGAATTTACACAAAGCTTACTTAACCAATAATACATGTGTAAATGCCCCCCAAAAAATCATGAAGGCACATAAATAAACAAACACACAAATTTTTCTCTTCCTGCAAAAAGGACCAAAATATTCATGAAAATTATGTTCAGTAGTACACTTTCTGGAATGAGAAGGTTCACCCCCATTCCACCTGCCTTTGACTAGCAATTAGGGTTGCAAAAAGGTGGAAAATTTCCAGTAAATTTCGGAAATATTCCAGAAATTTTGGAAACTTGCCAGGATTTTCTGGAATATTCCAGGGATTTTTGGAAAGTTTCCGGAAATGTTCCACCCCTTTGCAACCCTACTAGCAATTTTGTCATAGTGCAGCATAAATCAAAATCCATTCGTGGAAGTCCTTCCCACCCCAACTATTAGCTAACTGGAAATGCATCAACGACGGAACAACATGCATGTTTGTCCAACCTTTTAATTAGTTTAATTAAGATTTTTCTGCATTAATAAAGTTATCACAAGGTCACAAATGTGAAAGCCTAAAATTAAACAACAGCAAACCTCTGCTTTTTTACATTTCTGAGAAGTCAAACTGGACATTTGGCCCTTAGTATCCTATTGTAATATGTAGTGTTTTTCCAGGAATTGTATCGCATAACACTGACATCTGCATAACCCTCATAACTCCATCAGCTGCCCATTCAGATTTAGAGATTATTTTTTGGACTAAGGATTGTGGTAAAACATATCTTGTCAAATATCTCCATAGTTTGTCAAGGCATCATAGCAGCTGTTAAACTATTCGTGGGCTCCCTGAAGGAAAGACAGCTAAAGCACACTGATCTAGTTAGGCTGAGCTACTGATAAGAACATCTATTTTTTTACTAGCATAACTGCCTCTGTGCCTTACACAAATATCTGACTTAATGTCTGTCTATGTCTCTGAGGCATTGACCCAATTCAGTCCGGAACAGAAAATGATTTGTTTGGGTTTTAAAGAAAGAAGAGAGACAAAGACAAATGGCTGACAGCGACCCTGCTGCAAAATCAACACATACATTAACTGACAAGAAGTAGGAGGACAAGGAGAAGAACAAATTACCGCACTAAATGATTTGTGGAACTAACTAGTGCTGTTACTCATTAAAAAAAACTGTAACTGGTAACTTATTCTGTGAACCAGGATGCGTTTCCCAAAAGCAACTATGGTCGCAAGTTCTGTCATTACCAATAGAGTTCAATGAAACTAACAACCAAAGTTAGCTAACGGTGCTTTTGGGAAACGCACCCCTGGTCGGGAGCAGGTTTTCTTCATTAAAGTTTATTTCAGTCTCCTCCCCCTTTTTAAAGCATTAGCGATATTTTACTTAAAACAAGAACAATAATATTAATCCAAATGGAAACAAGATTCTTTTTCTTACCCCATTGGCAGATAATTTGCAAAATAAGAAAAATACACTTAAAAGACTAAATGCTAGGGATGTAACGATTAACCGCGAGCCGGATGCTATCCACTGTTAATAGTTTGTACGACCCCTTAGGTTTTGTTGCGCCTATAACTGTACATGGAAAAGCACTCATAAGAGAACTAACCTCCGAACCATGTGACTGGGACGACCCCCTATCGCCAGCCAAAGAAAGACTATGGTCTGTATGGAGAGACTCTCTTCTCGAGTTAGAGCACCTACACATTCCCAGACCGTACGTACCATTGTCTCTTTCCTCAACACAACACAGAGAGCTGTGTGTCTTCAGTGATGCCTCATCCACAGCAATTGCAGCTGTTGCCTACTTGCGAGTTGTCAATGAGCAGAGACAGCACCTCACCGGATTTGTTATGGGCAAAGCCAAACTGGCACCAAAACCAGCTCACACAATTCCACGACTGGAGCTATGCGCCGCTGTCCTTGCTGCAGAAATGGCAGAGCTTATATGCCAAGAAATCGACCTAGAGCTTCATGCTGTAAAGTACTACACGGATAGTAAGATTGTACTAGGTTACATCTACAACACGTGAAGAAGATTTTACGTCTATGTATCGAACAGAGTCTGTAGAATCAGAAAATCTTCAGTACCAACACAATGGCATCATGTCTCATCAGAAAACAACGCAGCAGACATTGCTACTCGCCCAATAGCAGCACTTTTACTGCCACAAACATACTGGTTCACCGGACCCCCATTCTTGTCGAAGGAACTGCCTCAGTGTTTCTGTCTAGCTGGATAGAGAAGTTACACGTCTAGTGAGGACAGAACACTGACACATCGAGGAGTACGAAGCAAATGCGTGTTGGGATAACACATACTGGGAGAACGTTTTAACATTCTCTAATGTTGTGCTAAATACGCAAAATGTGGAAGCGCTCTTTCCTGCGCTCGCCGCTCATTCATGCTTGCGATGTCCGACTCGTGATTGATTTGTTCTTTTGAGTTGGATCTTTTTAATGAGTCGGTTGAACCGGTACACAAAGTTCATGAGCGATTCGATCACAAATCGGACTGAATCGGTCCGAGTGGTTCTCAAGCTAACCGATCACTTCGTTTACAACAACAACAAAAAATGAAGTAGTTAACTAACCGATGCCTGAGCTGATGGTAGAAGAATTTGGAGTGAAGCGAGAATTTTGACTGATGGACAAGTTACTTTTAATAGCTTAAAGGGGTCATATGATGCGATTTCAATTTTTCCTTTCTCTTTGGAGTGTTACAAGCTCTTGGTGCAT